AACAAGGACATACCAATGGCAGATTAATGACGGCTCTGTTGCTGATACCTTACTTTTTTGTAGTAGACTTTTGGCTTTTGCCTGAAGTTTCTGAATAGGGGTAGGGATGGGGGGATTAAATGAACTACTTTTAAGGTCAGCCCACATCTCGGGAATTTTCTCAATCCTGGGGCTTTTCTCTTTTGTCCTGATGCTTTCCTGGCAGGCGACTTTATCAGCCCAAATCCTGAAAAGTCACTTTCCGCAAAGACCCTGATACTCATCCCCAGAGCGTGTGGTCAAGGCCTAACGCAGAGTGTGTGCAGCTGATGGCAATCCCAGAGTATGAAGCTGTCTCTGGGCGGAAACCAGGTCTTCAATGTCTCTTGGCGCCTCAGCTTTCGCAGTGAGACGCCCACCGAGCGCCCAGAAGGGCCTGACTGGCTGGCCGAGGGGATGAAGCGGTCCAGGAATGGGGCCAGGAGAGGACGAAGCGGTCAGGAAGGCAGGAAGCTCTGGTGGGAGTTTAAAATTTAGAAGTCGTGCGAACAGGGCAAGCTCCAGGCACCTGGGCCTTCTGGACTGTCGGAAGGCTAAGCAGCCGGGTCCCAGTTATTCTTCTAGCTAGGAGTCTCATGGCCACAGCTGCAGTTAGATGTTTTCCCACACCTGGCCTCCAAGGTGCACGCTGTTTCTCGGTGAGCTCCGGGAGCCAGGAGCCGAGATTAGAATCATGGAATGTGGTGGGGAGGAAGCTTCCAGCAAAGCCCGCCACTCGTGCCAAGGGACTTCCCTGTAGGGATGCCTGACCGAGCAAACGCGCGCAGCGCCAAGGAGTGGCGCACAGCGGGGGCGGTTGATTTGCTACCTTCATGAGCTTTCTCTGGTCTGCAATAGCTGCATGGGGCCTGCGCAGCTCCGTCCCGGCGCCACAGGCAGCCTGTGACCCGAGCGAGACCGCGTCCTGGTCTCGGCTCTCTCGGGGCTGTGTGGGCAGGAGGCACTTCGCCGCGTGGGCCTCGGTTGCTAGAGCGTGATGGTTCCGTGAGGAACAAATGACTATTTGTGAAAGGGCTTTCACGTGTGGAAACTGCTGTGCTGAACAAATGTTAGAGGGTAATGATTATCTGAAACCAGAGGAATGTACTCATTAAAATGGGAGATAAGCACCCCACACCCAGTTCCACCTCACTCCCCAGCGAGCGGCACCCGCGTGGGGCCTGCTCGTGTGCTGGCCCGTCAGCACAGATGGTGCGGCCCCCCGTGCTCGCTGCGGCGGGGAAAGGGGGTGCTTTGTCCAGGAGTTGGTCCAAACCTTTTGCACACTTGCTGCATGCCAGGCAAATGCGAGGCAGAGAATAGCAGGATGAAGAGCTTTTCCCTTCCCCTCAATGGATTCAAAGTCTAGTTAGAGAAACAGACTGATAAATGGTCGTGATAGAGTACGGTCAGTCCTGTAATGAAGGTACTGTGGGAACGCAGATAAGAGCAGAATTAATTCTGCCTGAGTGTGGGTCCCAGCCAGGGAGAATATTTGAATTGGGCTTTGCATGACAATAGAAGTTTGCCCTGTGAACCAGGATTTGGGGACTAGGGGTGGAGGGCAGGAGGAACGGCAAAGCCCAGAGAAGGGGCTTGGAGCATCTGGAAAATGGCAGTCAGCGTGGGCCGGGGGCCATGCCAGAGGCTGGTGCTGTCCTGGAGGGGCTGAAGTGAAGCGGGGTCTGTCCTGGGGGTGGGTGGATGTTTTTGGAAGAGTGGCCTTGAACTGAGGGGTTTGAGGAGTCAAGATGGCATTCCAGGCACAGTGTCCACAGACACACAGCTGCCTTGGAAGAAACCAGCAGGGGTCTGCCTGGGCTGCTGCTGAAAGAAGGAGAGGGGGTACAGAGCACATCAGAAATAAGGCTGCGGACGTCGGCCAATCCATGGGGCCTGGATTGGAGCCTGCAGGGCCAGGTGGGCTGAGAGCTCCTGACGGTGACTCAGCCCGAGAATCATCCCGTGGTATTCCACCTGGGCTGCCGGCTGGATCATCGTGATGCTGGGACTGCACCGTAGGCCAATCAGCTCACCTCCGTAGTGGGACCCAAGCTCCCCAGGTGATTCTCATGTGCAGCCGGGCCTGAGACCTCGGAAATGAACCAACACTGAGAGGCTGAGTCTGGAATCTGCATAAGTAAGGGCTCACCAGTGTGTTCCAGTCGACCAGGTGGGAGCCGCTGCCAAGGCTATGGCGGCATAGGGGAGGGGCGACGTGATGAGGCCCATATTTTCAGGGATCACTCTTCAACCAGAGGTTTGCAGATGGCTTAAAACAGGCGAGGTTGACAGGCTTGGAGAACAATTAGGAAACCCAAAGAGAGCTGGGCGAAGGAGGATGTAGACCCTGACCCCAGTAGCAGAGAGGTGGGGAGGATGGAGTGGGTTAAAAGAAAGGTTAAGTTCTCAGAAAAATACAAAACGTTGCTGAACGAAATTAAAGACGACACAACTGAATGGAGAAACATCCCATGTACACAGATTGGTAGACTTAATATTGTTAAGATGTCAATAATTCCCAAAGTGATCTACAGATTCAATGCAATCCCTATCAAAATCCCAGTGGTGTATTTTTTTGCAGAAATAGAAAAATCTACCCTAAAATTCATATGGAATCTCAAGGGGCCCAAGATAGCCAAAACAGTCTTGAAAAAAAAACAACAAAGTTAGAGGTTTTGCACTTCCTGATCTTAAAAGTTATTACAGAACTACAGTAATCAAAACGATTTGATACTGGCATGAAGACAGACATATAGACCAATGAAATAGAATAAGAGCTCAGAAAAAACCCTCACATATATGGCCAAATGATTTTCGACAAGAGTGCCAAGACCATTCATTGGGAAAAGACAGTGTTTTCAACACATGGTGCTGGGAAAACGAATGTCCAACATGTGAAGGAATAAAGAGGGACCCTTACCTTATTACACCATGTCCAAAAATTAACTCACAATGGAGCAAAGACTTACACATGAGCTAAAACTATAAAACTCTTAGAAGAAAACATAGGGGGAAAGCTTCATGGCATTGGATTTAGTGATGATTTCTTAGATATGACACCAAAACCACAGGCAACAAAGTAAAAATAGATAAGTTGGACCACATCAAAATTTAAAACTTCAACACAATCAGCAGAAAAAGACAGTAATCATGAGGAAAATGCAAATCAAAACTACAACAAGATATCTATCACCGCACACCCATAGGATGGCTACTTTAATGTTGGTGAGGGTGTGGAGAAATTGGAATCCTTTGTGCACTATTGGTGGGAGTGTAAAATGGTGCAGCTGCTATGTAAAATGGAAAACAGTGTGGTGGTTCCTCAAAACTGTTAAAAATAGAATTAGCATATGATCCAGCAATTCCATGTCTGGGTAGACACCCAAAAGAATTGAAAGCAGAGTCTCAGAGATATTTGTACACTTGTTGTATTAGTTTGCTAGGGCTGCCATAACAAAGTACCACAGACTGGGTGGCTTAAACAACAGACATTTATTTTCTCACAGGTCTGGAGGCTAGAAGTCCAGGATCAAGGTGTTGGCAGGGTTGGTTTCTTCTGAGACCTCGTAGATGGCCCTCTTCTCTCTGTGTCTTCATGTGGTCTTCCTTCTGTGTCTGTGTCCTAATCTCTTCTTATAGGGACACCAGCCATATTAGATTAGGGCCTCACCCAAATGACCTCATTTTAACTAAATTACCTCTTCAAAGACCTTGTCTTCAAATGCAGTCACATTCTAAGGTACTGGGGGGTTAGAACTTCAACTTATGAATTTTGAGGGGGGACACAATTCAACCCATAATACTGTTTATAGCAGCATTATTCACAATAGCCAAAAGGTGGAAGCAACCCAAGTGTCCCCTGATGGGTGAATAGATAAAATTTTGGTCTATCCATACAATGGAACATTATTCCCCCTTTAAAAAGAAGGAAATTCTGACACACGCTACAACTTGGATGAACCTTAAGGACATCATGCTAAGTGAAATAAACCAGTCAGAAAAAGACAGATATTGTGTGATTCCACTTATATGAGGTCCCCAGAGTTGTCAAATTCATAGACAGAAAGTAGAATGGAGGTGCCAGGGGCTGGGGAGGGGAAATGGGGAGTAGTTGTTGAATGGGGACAGAGTTTCAGTTTGGGAAGATGTAAAGAGCTCTGGATCTTGGTTACACAACAGTGTGAATGTGCTTAGCACTACTAAACTGTACACTTAAAATGGTTAAGATGGTAAATTTTATGTTACTTGTATTTTACTGCAATAAAAAAGGGAGAAAGAAAAAAAAAGAAAGGTTAAGGACTCAGGCAGCTTCTCCGGGTTGAGGACTGCCCAGGTGGGGTTTGTGTCTGGGGTGTGGAGGGGTTTCAGGCAAGATACAGGAGGAAGGAGGAGCAGGGCTGAGGGTAAAATGATGCCTTCGTTTTAGACATGACGAGTTTGTGGCAAGCTCCGCCCCTGCCATGCCATTCCTCTTGGCCACTGTGTCATCTGGCTTTACTGTTTTGCCACAGCCTCACCCACTCACCCCGCGGCCCCTGTCGTCTTTCCCAGGAAGGCACACATCCTTGGACCACTTCATCGAGGTCCACGTTCGTGTCATGAGATGAAGGCGTGTCGGGTGGCTGCCCCCAAAGCACCAATGGGGCTTCCCCTCCTCTGCTGCTCTACCCTGGGCTCTTTCCCCTCCTGACTTTAGTCCCTGCCTCATCCTCCTTGCTCTTCCCCAGGGTGACGGGGTAGTGGTTTCACATTCTGGAAGAGAATGTGGAGAGTGGTCAGGATCTCTGAGGGGGCTAGCGTGTCCCACCCCCCCTTTACCCTGTTTGTCATCCACAGCCCTCCCTGATGGATGGTGTTTATGAGGAGGACTCAGGAAATGGGCAGTGATACACATGTGGAGCTGTGTGCAGTCCCTGGACAAGGCCAGATGGGCACCTGAGGGCCACTGTCATTGACCACGTGCTCTCTTTCCTTCCTAGGACCTGAGTTCCTTTGCCATGCCGCTCCTGGATGGAGACCTGGAGAGTTCAGAAAAGCACTCTTCTCGTAAGGTAAGACCACCTTTCTCACAGCTTCTCATAGTTCACTTGAGGTGCCACTGAGGCAGGACTCCCTCAGCAAGAGCCCAAGACACACATCCACCTGTGCTCCCACCTGCACATCCACCTGTGCTCCCACCTGCTCATCCACCTGCACTCCCACCTATACTCCCACCTGTGCTCCCAGCTGCACATCCACCTGTGCTCCCACCTGCTCATCCACCTTTGTTCCCACCTCTACTCCCACTTGTGCTCCCACCTGCACATCTACCTGTGCTCCCACCTGCTCATCCACCTGCACTCCCACCTGCACTGCCACCTGTGCTCCCACCTGCACTGCCACCTGCTCATCCACCTGCACATCCACCTATGCTCC